GCGCAACGCATAAGTGTCGGGGTTTGGCACCGCAGTTGCATCCCCACGGCAACCCGCTCACTGCACCGCAGTTGCTTTGAGGGGTGACCGGAGTGCGCAATGCACTCGCTTCAGACACCTGCGCCGCCGCGTGCGGGCCTTATGCGCAATGCATACGGTGTCGGGGTTTGCGCCGCAGCTGCGTCCCCCAGAAACCCGCTCACTGCACCGCAGTTGCTTTGAGGGGTGACCGAAGTGCGCAATGCGCTCTCTTCAGGCACAGGCGCCGCCGCGTGCGGGCCTTATGCGCAATGCATAAGTGTCGGGGTTTGCGCCGCAGCTGCATCCCCCAGGGAACCCTCTCACTGCACCGGCGCCAATGCGCAATGCATATTTATTGCCCAATTGCACCGCAGATGCATTCAGGCCTTTTGTTGCAATGGCTTCAATCACAGTGGGCACCGCTGATGCCTCACCAGAGTTCATCATTGCACCGCAACGGCCTTCTTGCCAGGCCTCGTGCGCAAAGCACTCACGACCCGGCATTGCGCCGCACGTGCAGCTGTGTGCGCATTGTACACCCCCTCGCCTGGTTGTACCGCGGATGCACCCAGGCCGCTCCAAGCACTACGGATGCCTTCGGGCACGTCCAGTGCTTAGCGCTTAGGGGATTCAGCCCAGTTTTGTGATTGCAGCCAAAGCACGCTCCCGTGCATATCGCACCAGCTGCCTTTCAGCACTTTCGGCAGCGCGCCCGCCATGGAGTGCCATGACATGCTGGAAGCGATGCATGACACGGTAGTTACCTGGACGTGGAAATCGTCCTTGAGGATATGGTCCTCGTGCTCCTGAGCATCCGCTTCTATTTGCGCATAGTGGCATTCTGCATGGTCTTCATCGCGCTCATCGCTCTTGCAGCATATTTGCAGACGTTACCCTCCATTTTCCAAACAAGCGATTTCTTGCATGCCGCCATGCTGCGAACTAATTCGCAGTCAGCATACCTGCACAATGGGTAACTGACGCATTCGCACGCGTGCAATGCCGAAAAGCGCTCTGCCCCTTCCTTGGGCTTCATTGCTTGTTGCCACTTCACTCACTCCCGAGCCTGAGTCAAGGTGGAAGCAGCAAGCCTGTCCCTCAGTGGTCTCAGCCCTGCGCCCCTGTGCAGCAAAAGCCCCTGTTTCGCATGCGCGCAGTTTCCATTCAATTTCACGCTGCAACCGCTTTCCTTTCTTGCGCTGTGATGACCATGGTCAGTGAATCCAACGCTTGCATCAACGCGTTCGACAACATTGAAACGCCTCAGCAGTGGCCCCAATGCCACCGCATTGATGCATCGCCCTCTCGCTCTTTGCAGGACGGTTTTGCAGCCCTTCTCAACTGCTGGCTAAGACGCATGGAGCATGATGATCGCTTGGCGTGCAACGCATGGGTCACCTGAGCAACTTTCTGCTCGACGTCCTCAGTGTCCTGGGAGTGCATAGCGTGACTTTCGGCATTGCACGCTTGCACTCCCTCATTGCATATTTTGTCGACTACGTTCGCATTGATCCGCAAATCGATGTTGACGGCATGTTGGAGAATCGCAAACGAAGCCTTGCAGGCTTCCGCATGGCAGGCAAATACCTTGCCGTGATCCAGCCCTTCTCTGCCTTGCTTGCTAACCCCAAGTTCCGCTCTGAGCGCAGCATGCACGCATACATGCAGCCAAGCTTGGCTTTGCTGCATGAATGGGAGTCAAGCCTCGGCATGGACGACATCGCACTGGTCATCAGGTCCTGCGTTGCATTACTTGAAAGCATTAAAACCTATGTAAGCCTGCTGCCCCAACCACGCAGCGCGCATTTCCTGCACTGACGAGTGGGCCCACTGCATGCCCGCACCGGCAGCGCCAGAGCCTGGCAGGCCACCCGACAGCCCTTCAGGGCTGCATCGTTCCGGGCCGCGCCGCAACACGCCCTATTGCCTCAGATTCCAGACCAACAACTGCCAGTCCAGAGCATGCAAGCTTGCGCATATCTGTCTTGTGCCAGATTGCGCGCAAAGCTAACAGGAGGCAGCTCGAAGTTTCACTCCGACTATAAAAAGTGCGGCTTAACACTGCTTGTTGAACTTTCGCTGATTAAGTTCCACTTGCCCGCACCCCGCACTAACTCAGGTGCCGCAGCACGCAGGTGCACTCGCCTCAGATTTCACGCGCGCCCAGTGTCTATTGCATTGCTCAGGCGCGCCACCTTATGGCTCCTCACTACGACGCGTTCTAGTGCCCCGCAAGTGTTGCTTGCATTTACATGGCATGCTCGCTGGATTGTCACTGCAGCCAAGCATGGCACGTGTTCCTGCTTAGCCGTTTAAGCTATTCAGCGCAAACCTCGCAACCGCCTTGCATTCGTCGTTGCTCCGCCATGAGCACCAACCTGCAGGAGCTCGTTGAGGAGAACAGAAAGAACCCCGAGTTCCTGCGAGAGCTCATCGCCGCATTTGCGTCCGCCTCAATTTCAGCATCCGCATGCAACCCCGCAGAGCATGCCACCGCTCAAGATAAAAAGGACACGCGATGTCTTTCCCCCTGCGCCTCTGAGCCTCAACTTCCAAGCAACGCCTTATAAAGAAAAAGAGCGTGCGCACATGTTTGTCGGTCGCGCCCTTTTATCTTGGACTGCATGTTCCCTTTCGGATTGAAGCAGTGATCAAGATTCTAACGTTTAGGGTTTTATTTTCCTTATGTTTTGATCTTGATCGAATCTTCGGACGCGTGGCCGTTTTCTGCTTCAAGCCACCTAAGGGACTTGCGTGAGGGTTACCCCTCACTTTTTTGCGCCCACCCTCCCACCCTGTCAACACTCAGGTGAACCTCCCTGGGCCCAGCCGCAGCTGGGGCCCCAGAGGTACGGTGCACACCATGACCTTGCTGCAGAGGTCACAAAATTTGTTTGCCGCATCTCGCGCCAGCGACAGCATGCAATATTTCCGCCAGGGCCCAGCCGCAGCTGCCGCCCAAAGGGCTCGGTGCACAACCAGCCCCGCATGCTGTAGCTACTGCCAGGCCTCAGCCTGGCACCCATTGCATATAAGCCGGATGCACGCATTGCATCCAGCCGCCATATGACTGTTTCGACTTGTCTCAACCTGGCACCGTGTGCCGCATTGCACACCAGCCGGATGCACGCATTGGATCCGGCCGCCATCAATGCCTTCGATTGTTTCACGCCTCACAGGTAACACACCTGGCGCCTGGTCGAACACGCATTGTTGACCACGGGGGCATATGAGGAGGCTTTTCAGAGGGGTGCAGATATGGGGAAAGGACACGCGATGTCTTTCCCCCTGCACCTCTGAGCCTCAACTTCCAAGCAACGCCTTATAAAGAAAAAGAGCGTGCGCACATGTTTGTCGGTCGCACCCTTTTATCTTGGACTGCATGTTCCGTTTCGGATTGAAGCAGTGATCAAGATTCTAACTGCGAGGGCTGAAGCGCACGCGGTCTGCAGGTCATGAAACGGTGAAGGCGTCCTCGACTGAGGTCGTCTGCCCATGCGGGGCGTGTGTGAGCTGGCAAAGTTGTCCGTAGCGACTTTCTCCGATGTGTGAGTGCGCGACCTGCAGCAGTGCTAACTGGGCCAGGGTCTTAGAGCAAGCAACGTAGCGCTGGGCAGGCTTGCGAAGGCAAGGCCGCCCGGATCTAACCTCGCTCATGTTCCATGTTCTGCAAACCAAACCACCTGAGTCGAGGTTGTCGGCCTCTGCACACGCGTCGGCATCCCTATGTGTTTAGGGCTGTGTGAACCTCGTACGGGGTGGCCAATTTTGCTCGTAGAACTCAAATCCGTTTGTTTCGATTGACACCCACCCTCTCACCGTGCTTGCCTTTCACAAGGCTGGCTCGAGGCTGCAGACGCTCTCAAGGCTCCAGGTGCACCGCGTGCCCTGGAGGCAGTGCTTCTTTCAAGCAACCCGTGAGCAAGAAGTGCGCGCCTTTGGATTTGCGGAGTTCTTTGATGTGAGGGTTGTGCTCTTCATAGACAATAAAATGCCACGGAGCGGTCCCTGACTAGCCTCCTATAGAATAGTGCCACGGAGCGTTTCCGGCCCCAACTGTTAGAAGTGAGTCTTTGACGTGAGAAAGGCAGCGGTGGGATCTGTGGTCTTAGCATGCTTCCGCGATTGAAAAAGAACGATGAGGGCCCCGTAAGCTCGAACTAGCCTCGCATAAGTCCCGCGGAAACCTGATTTGATTTTGATGAAGCGCGATCGAAACCCAGGGCTTTCAGTCTCCTTGCTGGCGATGTTTGGATTGTTCAAGCTCCACGCAGGCTGCGCGGAAAACGCGTAAGCTTTGGCTTTTTAACTGTGACCCCTCTGGGCCCCTGGCAAATGGTGACGTGTACTGGAGAGTTGCGGTTTGTAAGCTGTAACCACCGACGACTACTTCACGTTCTACATATGTAACGAACAAGTTGCACTCTGTGAACTGTGGGTCTGCGTGCGGGAACACACGAGCACTTGGGCCTGCATAAAAGAACCCTATTGTCGCGTCAGACCCATGGAAGGTTTCGCGGAGGCAGCAGTCATTAAATGCAAAAGTGCCATTATCAGCCTTCCAATCCGAAATGTTGGCAAGTTATCTGGTTTTGCCACGCAGGGGACAACAATCGCCAATAAAGCATTACATTTGTGTGTGCGAAATTGAAGGTGCGATTGGTGTCCATGCGCCCAATGATTTCGAAACAGTTCTTTTTTGTGGGTGACAGTCTAAGTCCTTAAAGCATACAATCCTCGGGCAAACTTTGTTGTAGATTCGTGCAAATGAGTAGGTCGGCTGGCGGCGATGGGGTGGATGGAAGTACTCGTATTGCATGGTGAAGGCTTGCTATGCAGTTTTTTGGCTGAACGACACTTCAAAAGATATTTTGATCACAGCTGTGCCACGCTAATCGAGAACAAACTGTGACATACTTGACTACTTTGACTATCCATGAACCCAACTGCGAGGGCACGATACATGACTCATTGCTTCCAGCACATGCTGGTGACCGTTTGAATGTCATTGTGTCATGGTTGCAGCGACAGTGCGGACAAATCTGTCCAGGCCAATCATGGGTTAGCCAATGCTAGCATTTAGTTGCATGGTGCTTTCAGTGGCTGGCCATTTGTCAGCTCCAACTATTGCTCTTGAATGCTTTGGTGCTCAGAATGGTTTTCCTAAGAATCTTTGAACAAGTGCTGGCTCGATGCAGGTGCCTAGAACGATGCATCCAAACTTCGGAGCCTGGAAGTGGGCACCTGGCTGCTCGGCAGTGCTGAGCCCCCCTGTTCGAACAAACGCAAACCTTTGAAGGTCACGTTTCAACATCTTGCACGCACAATCACAAGACAAAGCAAGGGGAGGGAACCTAACTTTGCCCGGATTGGTGTGGCATGTGAGTCGGATTGAGCCGGTGCCCAGAGTTCAGGACTGTGACCTGGCCAAGCGCACGGCGGAATGCTCCATGGATCGCAAAGTGGGCGAACCCTTTTGCCAATTTCGCTTCGAAGGTGGCCACTGCAAATCTGCAAGTTTCAACTCTTGTGCATGTGAGCGCAGTTTTCAGCTTTTCCAGCCTGTGACAGTGGCATTGATTCAGGCCTGGCAAAGTCGAGCACGAAGGAGCTGCATGTAGAGGCTTGGAATTGCCACGAGGGTTGAATGCGCCTTCTGCTGAGAGAGTTTGCGCAGGCTTTGTGCCTTGAAGTAGCTTCAGCGCTAGAGAAGCACGGGCGCTGGAGGCAGGGCAGCAGTGTTAAGTCATTCGAGTTGGGTTTTGCGTTTTGTCTCCTTTGCACGTGTTGCCCTATGACTGACACATCAAAATCTCGTTGCAGGCCCGCGTGGGACCTGCTGTTCGGCCTCATGCAACACCTGGGCCCGGGGGCCTGGCAGCAGCCACGGGGCACTTCGCAGTTCGGTAAAATCGTCGAAACAGAAGCGCCGCAGGAGCTGCTTCACGCACCAGGGCCAGGTTCTTAGGTTTGAGATATGCGCAACCACTTGCGTCACATCGCGCTCTTAAACCAAACCAGTTTGTGGCAAGGATAAGAACAGTTGTGTGTCAATGCCTGCGAACTTGCACCTGCCTTGGAGAAAGTTATTACTTGTGTGGATTTGATTGACCTGGTGAAGTTGCACCTTTTTGGCAATTGGACGGGGCTTCGTTGTTCAAGTGACATGCAAGGCTTTTCACGCCAAGGCAGCAGCCAGCATGTATGCGGGGGCCTCACCGCATGCAGTTGGGCCGGATTTTGGAGGGGCACCTGGCAAGAGTCCAGCACAACGCAAAACATGTTTTGAGGTGTGAACTTGTTGTTGGTCTTCAGCACCAGGGCATGTGTTCTGATTTCGTCGTTCCGTGGGCTCGCGACCTTGCCATCACAATCTTCTTTTGCGTCGAGAATAGAACAAAGTCACCGAAGTCACCAATCAGTTTGGTCAGTTCTTTGGGCCTGGCGATGGCCGAGGCGCATGTTGTGATGAGGGCTGCAAGCTGCGCTGGCCGGGGAGGCGGGGTGTGGATAGGCTTGTTTCTCCATGTCGCAGGACAGAATGGAGAACCGCGGAATGGGATGGTTGTGGTACGTCGCGGTGTGCCAGCGAAGCCGTTGCTTCAAGGGGTCTGCCTTTCACGAATCTTGTCGTGCGGGTCTGTAGCCAGGCGTTAGTGCTGGAGGCGACCTCTGCGAGATTGTGGAGCTATGTTTCCACTTGCGCTCCTGCTAAGCGCTCAGCGGGAATCAGAGGCATCTTTTTGTTTGGAGAGTGGGTTGATGGGTCATGCCGGGTTACGGTTACAAGGGCACAACACCAACCGTTTGGGCTTACTCAAAGGAGTTTTAGGGCTGCTGGATGTTGTAGAGGGCCCATCCACTCCCAGGTTTTTTGGAGGCCTTGTCCCTCAACGACAAGCTGGGTCAGAGGAATGTCCAAGCTCGAAAGCTTCTTGTCGGCTCCTCAATGCAAATCAGTTGTGACGACGTTGGAGAAGGTGAGCGTGCCTATCTTGTTTTTGGGGGACGAGCATCAAGCTTTGTCAGTCCAAGCTACCTTTCAATCAAGGCAATCCAGAAATACTTTTGACTCCAGTGTTTGTTTTTTCACCGTGTGTGTTCCTCTTTCTAATCTCGCTCAGTTTTCCTTCAGTTTGTGCACTCCGATCCGAGCATCACGAACATTCTGTCCGATTCCGACTGCCAGGACTACTCTGATCACTCTATTTCTCTCTTGCACTCGCCTCCAACAGGTCAGCCTCCCAACAGCTTTCTGATGTCCGAACCCATCCAGTCCCTACGCTCCTTGCATTCCATACATTCCATAAATTTCAAGCATTCTGTACATTCTTAGACATCTCGTGTGCAATTTCATTCAATTCGTGACAGGTTTTGCTGGCTACCTGCCTTGAGTACTTCCTTGCGTTGGCAAGGCTTCTTTTAAAGGGAGTGAGCGGAGGACCTGCATTTTTCTCGAACACAACATGTAGCTTAAAGATGCTCAGTGAATTGTATCACCGCATGCACCCGTTCTGAGGAGTGGCTGGTGCATGTTGCGGTGCCTGTTTCCAGCCATCTTCTGGTGCTGCCCTCGGCCTCTCGTGATGCGGCAAGGGAGCCATTTGCTAACTTTTGCATTCGCCGATGTTGCGGGTAAGACGCGCCGTCCGAGAAGCAGTCTCAGGCAAAGAAGTGCTGGCAGGAAGTTCAGCAAGCCTTGCAGCAGGGTGGCAATCAGGCTTGGTGGGTTCACCAAATCCCGCCAAATCCTGAAACGGTGCAAGTGCGAGTCTCGACTGCATGAATGCGAACATGAACACATGTGTCTAATTCTATGTTGCTTGAACGTGGATATTCAAGGAATCAGTGGGATCTTAGTTGGCTAAACCACATGACGCGTTCAGAACTTTGGAAATGGGTGAAAGAGGCACGCGGCAAGTTTGTGGATGGGGTGAGAAGGCTGGGTGAGGCTTGGGAGGGGGCAACAAGCGCAAGATCAACTTGATGTGTGCAGATGGAGTAAACCTCCAGGAACGAGCTATTCGTACGGAGTCATTATGGATCCCTGGTCCTTTCAGAAGCAAACTTGTCCTTCAGGTTGAATACCCGGGGTTGGGAGGGCGAGTTGTTGGCATTTCCCCTTGCTTTGGTGCAAGCCAAAAGGCCTCTTTTCGAGGCTTTCCTAGCCAGGGTTACAATTCCAAAAGCATCGAAGTTGCGCAGGCGATGAAAGCTCTTATGCAAGGGCGGACGGCTGAAGAGCAAACTCAGCTGGTGCGGCTCATCTGCTGTCATGCCAGGACGGGACAGAATGGTTCAGCTTCGAGCTGTTTTGTTTCGCACCTTGCCACTGCGGGCAACTAATGGTGCCTTCTTGATGCATCTGATCGATCCTGGGGAGGTCTGTGCAGCCTGATGCGGCAGATCTGGTGGCAGATGTGCTGAAAGCCCTGCTTGCGGGGCAGCATCGGAAGAGTGCGAAGCCCAATGAGGTGGCCATTTGGTTGAAGGCTGTCATGACAACCATGGATGTTCTCGCTCATCTTCTCCGCAGCTCTTGGCAAAAGAGACGCTGGGCGCATAGCAAATGTTTTTGCAGTAATTTGGTGCGTTTCTTAATAGTGGTTTTTGAAACAGGACACAGGTGGATTAGGCGGTTTTCACACTTCCGTCCAGAGAAGCACGTCTCGAATTCAGGGTGACAAGCTCAGGCAGCTCGATGCTGGATTGGGCCGATCAATTTCTGGCAGATTTTTCAGGCACGCTGGCAGGCGCAGTATTTGTCTTGGGGCACATTTGCACAGCCTGGCATTGTGGCCGAAGCATCTAGCCCACGGCATGGACCGAGGTCTGGAGCCAAAAGCTTCTTCTTGACTCCCTGGGAAAACATGCGGAAAGGACAAAATGATGCCATCTATCATCTGGGTGTTGCGTGCACTCGTCTGGGTGCAGGTAAACAATTTGAAGGCAATGAAAGCTTCGCATGGTCAATAGGAATCCTTGTCTGCCGACGCAGGTGGCCTTGAGAGCCCCAGCCTACAGCCGCTTCTGCTGTTGCTGGTGCGGGCGCGCGTGCGCGTGCTGGAGGCGCTTGCGGGGGCACCGGTTTGTTAAGTTTCTCACCTTCTCCCAACGAGTGGAGCCAAGTTTTGCAGGCCTGCCGGCGAGAGAGCCGCGAGCTGCTGGCCATTACGCGCAAAGAGATCTTCCAGCTCTATGGCCTGCAGCTCTGGCAGTCCCAGCTCCAGGAAACGGAAGGCTCCGGGTGCAGTTGGGCTTTGGGATAATTATGAGATTTCAAGGTTTTGGGGTTCGGCTCTTGCTCCCACGCAGCAGGGCTCATATGGAGGGCTCATTGTGGCTGCTATCTCATGCTTGCCGCTCCTGGGTTTTGCTTCTTTGTCCCTTTGACACTCTGGTTTGTGTCCCATTGCAAAGAGGAGGCCGCACATGTTGCAGACTTGCCCCATGAAACTCTCCAGCTTTCGATTCGGACAGGCACCGCGCCGCTGGCGCCGCCTGCGCCGTGTGCGCCGCAGTGCCTGCTGGAGCTGCTGGGCTGCGGCCGCAGCTGGCAGCAGCTGGAGGCCGTGCGCTTGCAGCTGCCCGCAGGCATCGGGTTCGAAGATGAGGTTGGGCAAAGTGCAATGGGCGGCAGGTTTGAACATGACTGAATATGTTGGAATAAGTTTGATATATGTTGGAGCAGGTTGGACTATGGTGGAATATGTTGGAGTATACTGAAATGTTGGACTATGTTGGCCTATGCCGGACTTAGTTAGACTATGTAAGAACTATGTTGGACTATGTTGGACTGTGTTGGACAATGTTGGGCTATGTTGGACTATGTTGGAATACGTTGGACTATATTGGGCTATGTTGGACGATGTTGGAATATGTTGGCCTGTGTTGGACTTTGTCGGAGTTGGACTATGTTGAACTGTGTTTGACTATGTTGGACTATGATGGACTGTGTTGGACTATGTTGAACTATGTTGGCCTGTGCCAGACTTTGCTAGACTATGTTAGAACTATGTTGGACTATGTTGGACTATGTTGGAGTATGCTGTGTTGAACTACTATGTTGGACTATGATGGACTGTGTTGGACTATGTTGAACTATGTTGGCCTGTGCCAGACTTTGCTAGACTATGTTAGAACTATGTTGGACTATGTTGGACTATGTTGGAGTATGCTGGAATATGTTGAACTATGTTGGCCTATGCCAGACTTTGCTAGACTATGTTAGAACTATGTTGGACTATGTTGGAATAAGTTTGAAAATATTAAAGCATGTTGAAATATGGTAAAATATATTAGAGTATACAAAACTATGTTGGACTATGCTGGAATATGTTGGACTATGTTGGACCATGTTGGGCAATGTTGGACTATGTTGGAACGACTATGTTGGAACTTGTTGGACTATGTTTGATTCTTGGTGGTTTGTTTAACTGTGTTGAAGTGTGTCGGCATGCACTGCACAAATAATGGAGTATGCTTGCATAGGTTGGACTATGTTGGAAGATGAGGAACCTTGATGGAGTATGATGGACTGTGCTGGGTTATGTTGGACTATGTTAAAATATGTTGGAATGTGTCGAATTTTGTTGGAAGTGTTGCGATGATTGGGACATTTTGGCTGCGATGCTGGCCAGGCAGCGTTGCAGGGGCACTGCTGGCGCTCAGGCAGCTGCAGCTGCACGTGGAAGCTGATGATGCGGCGAGTCTCCTGGCGCTGGGGCGACTGGTCCTGGCTTTGAGCCAAGACCCCGACTTCCGGAGCCTGGCACCACAGGTTCGGACTCCCGGATTCCGCGGGGCTTTGGTTGGCCCCAAAGTGTTTGTTCTGGGCGAACCGCGTGATGTGAATGTGGCTGTGGGTCAAGATTAGACTAGGCGATCACTGGTGTCAGTCCATGTTTCTATTTACCAGGTATCAGCTGTGGTTCCATTTTGGGTACCCATTTTTGACCCACCGCCAGGTCAAACCGCGAATCGCCAATTTGGATGAGTCGAGCGTCGAGAGCCGAGGCGCTGGCCGCGGCCCGGCGCCGGCTCGCTGGCCTCGGCGAGGGCCGGGGGCGGCTCCTGGCGGCGCAGCTCTGCGCCGTGGAGGCGCAGCTCGAGGCCTCGGAAGCGCACCAGGCAGGGAAAGCCGGGGGGCCTGGGTTGGGTTTGTTTGTTGATGGATTTCGGTTCCAGCGTTGATGGATTGAAACTCTTTTTCTTGATTCTAGGCCATTTTTTGGCCTAGAAACTATCGTAGTTTTCAAGTTTCCAGGCGTGCTCGTGCCGTCCACACGTTCCCTCAGGAGTGCGAGCGCTTCCTGTCCCAGGCCCTGTCGCTGTGGTACCGAGCTGCGGGCCTGGACAGGACTGTTGCGACCGTGCGCTTCCCGAAGAACTTCAGATTCTTTTGTTTTCGAGGTCCCCCGCAAGTGACATCGCACTTTGGCGAAAGCAGTAGGATTTCTCAAGCGAGCCACAATCAAAACCCAGGTAGATCAAGGTTTGCAAGGGACAATCCCCTTGCCATAAATAGCTGCGGATCTCCGGCTTCTTAATTCTTGACGCATGGTGCTGGGATTACGACTCAAGTGAACTGACCGAACGAAGTGTCTGGGTGATTTCACCTCTTCGCAGGAGCTCCTTGGGCTTCTCAGTGAACTCCGTGGCGCGAGTGCTTCGGTGCTGCACAGGTGTGACCTCAAGGGGGGGGGTTCTGCAGGGTTCTGGCTTGAAGCCACTGCCTGTAGATGCTATAGGTTTCCGTGTCTTGTTTCGATATACCCCAAAACAGATGCCTCAAGAAGCAATGTCTTCCAGTTGATTTGTTTGTTTCCGAGTTTGTGGGGATGCTTCTTTGCGCCGAGAAGATCCTCGCGGCTGGATGCTCTCGTGGGCAACCCACCCAGTGGAAGCCTTTCCACGCTTCTTGCTCGAAGCCCTCAAAGGGCATCCACAATTGCGAGGTTCACCCTGATGGCTCAGTGCGCATCCTGCTCTATCTTTGCGCCAGCAAGCTCAAACTTGCTTGTCCCATTTGAAGAAGACTTCTGCAGCGCCGCTTCCGCTTGCAAGGTGCTTGGGCACTACTGTCTTCTCCCAGAAAGAAGTCGTCTACACGCTAGCCCTTTGACTTTTTCCGGGACACACAACCCACGCAGGTAAGCCTTCGAGACCACAGATCGCTCGAGGCGAATGAGTGCAAAGCGGCGAGTCGCATATAGCAACTGACAGGAGCCGCCAAGAACGCCGTCCATTTGGACCCCGAGACCTCCACCCCCAACGCGCAGGAGCTTCTCAAGGTGCGCGAGTCGCCGCAAAAGCTGCTGCACTGGAAAGATAGAGTTCCTTGAGATGCCCGAAGAACTTCTTTGTAGAACTGCGACTGGATCTCACTGAGGGCCAGGTCTCTGGAACAGTCTCTCGGCTGTACGACTTGTGAAAGCTCCACAGGCTTCGAGGAGTCCGGAGGCTTCGTGGAGAGCGAAAGAAGCAACCCCACAGTGCGGTGGATGTGGGCGTGATGTTCAGCGAAGTGCCCCACGCAGCGATCTCAACCTTGAAGAGGGCCAACAGATTGTCCGGTTGATCCGGTGCCAGGAAGACCCTTTGCGATCTTGGACGGCGACAAACCGCTAAACAACCCGAAGCCAAGCCTATTCCAAGCTAAAACCAAGCTTAGGCTCAGCTAGCAGCTAGATGAAGCCTAAGTAAAGCCTGAAGCATTTTTTAACCAAACCCAGCTGGAAAGACAGGCTTCTCGCGAGACCCATGACCATGTAAGGGGTTGGGGGGCTATACCACATACTTGCGGACATGCATCCTTGGAATCTGACCGTGAGCAGAAGACATCGAAGCAGGTTGGTAGCATGATTCCATGTAGGTAGCTGCCTTTGCTGGATGGGCCAGGTGCCCTCGTGTTGCGCGAGCTTCTGGACGCCGCCCATCTGCTCGAGACCTTGGACGGGAAGGGGGACAGGTCTAGCTCGAGGATGGTCGAAACGATGCTGTTTGACCCGTTTTGGATGGAACATGAGGCGCCTACGTTTCCACATCCTGCCCATGGGAGAGCCATTTAGTTGGACATGTTTGTTTGTGAGCTGCTCCAGCCCTTCGTCAATCTGTTCTTCCCGGGATGGTTTGGCCCTGGGGACTGTTGAGATGGTTTAGACGCTGGGGTTGGTTAGCTTGCTCGGAACGCATGTCTAGGACTGTCGGAATGCTTGGGACTGAGTGTTGAGGTTTCTTGTTTCATTCTATTTGTTCTGCCTTGCATTGTTTTGTCGAGGCTGAAGCATGTAAGCCATGCGGTATGTATTGCCCAGCGCATGCGCACACAAACGCACGTGCTTATTTGCATTGTGATACTTGCCATGGCCAGCAAGCTACCGGTTGTCACTTGCACGCCGATGCAGGACCTTCATGTGTTGACAGTGCAGGTGTTGGTTGGCGACTCAGACAGGTCAGCTTTTGAGTGGTCAGTTGAGGCTTGCAGGGCGCACAGCATGAAAGCAGCATTGTAGGTGCTTTGCCTGGCGTGTATGGTGCAGCAGCAAGGGCCAAAAGGGCTCTGGTGGCTGTGGGAGGCTTACTCGCCAAAGTTGACGGCGCCATTCAGTGGAGAGTGTTGGGTTTGGCGGAGCTCAATGCTATATGTCCCGGGCCATTTACTTTTCCTCAGAGAGCGAGAGAAGGATACAGCGAGAGGGAACCATTTATATTAATATACAGAGAAGGCTCGCATGAAGGCTAAATGCACAAGCGACCAAGGATGCCAGACAAGTCGGGGCTTCCGCCTGATGACTCAGCACAGGCCTGCCATTTTGTGCTCGAATGCTTGACACTTGCATAGCATGGTGCACTCGTGCCTGCGCATGCCCGGGCATCTTTGGTGCAGATCTCCGGTTGCTGCAAAACGATACGTGCTTTGTCGAGCTGATCCACTTTAGAATGGCTTTGCAATTTGTTCACTCGAACACTGCCCTGTTTTCAAACCGGCAAGCCCAGGCTCAAGCCGTCGCTCTTCATAATCGGCACTCCAACTTCAACTTGCCAGTGAATTGGCTTTCCCTCGGGTTGGTGCTAGAAACCAGCAAACATATTTGGGGTTTGGGGCACTCTCTCAGAGGGCGAAAGAATCTAAGTCGATGCGGAGGCCTGTGTGGTGCTGCTGTACCGCCTCGCAGCAGCGGAGGGCCGGCTCGCCACCACCGACGAGGAGGCGGCCAAATTCGCGCTTGGAGGTTGGTCTCAGAAGGCAGAGGCATCATTGAACGCGGGGGTGGATTTTTGGGGTATCTTCTTGTTGGGGAAAGGAACGGGAGAACAAATATCATAATTTTGCTGTTATGGCTTTGGAGACATCTCTGAAATGTCATGGCAAAGTCCAGTTTGCCTGCTTGTCTCGTCGTCCCCCCCCCCCCCTGGCATCGAGTGATTCATGTCTACAAGCCACAACTAGCTTCCCGATTTTGCCGCCAAGCTTCGCGGCGCTGGTTGGTAGCTGCGCGGCAACCAATGTCCGTGCAAAAAGGCAAAGGACCACTTTGTTGCTGACGCAGGGCAGTTGCTGCTCATCCCAAAGCCTCAAGGTTGTCGGTTTCCTCGAAAAGCGGTCCAACGGGCTTCGAGACAAACATATATATATATATATATATATTGACATTATATAGAGTATTGTTATGATTATGATGATGGTGTTGGTGATGATGCTGCCGATGATTATGATGGTGATGCTGAGGATGATGATGAAGATGCCCTCCCTTCGTCCGCTCATGCCGGTTGACCTTTGATGCACAAGCCATCTTAATAAAACTGAGTGGAGCCGCCGGCCAACAGACCAGCCATTTCTAGTCTATGTCTATGATGATGATGATGATGATGATGATGATGATGATGATGATGATGATGATGATCATTACAAAATGTATTGTTATTATTATGATTATTATGATGATTATTATTATTGTCATCATTTATCATCATTATTTGCAAATAGTATTACTATCACTATTACTATTATCATTAGTCACGTTCTACATGTACACATATTGCAGCACCCTCATCGCAAATTTCTGCCTCCAATATGAGCAGTTTTGCGAAAGCTGCTGACCAAATGCCGAAAGCATTTGCCCGGGAATGGCCACCCCTGACACTGACAGGGAATTGATTTGGCACGCGGCCTGCAGGCCTTTGTAGCGCTGGAGTGGTGGCAGACGGCGGAGGCCGGCGGTTTCCTTCCATTCGGCAGCTACAGGAGATGCCTGCCAGAAGGCTCAGGTCCTCCAAGCCCAGGGTCTTGGGTTTAGGATCGAGTCTCAGCTTATGACCAGCGGCCAGTTCATGTGAGGAGGGCGCGGCAAGAGGAATCAAGCTGCTGAGTACAAACAGTCTTTTTTTCAACCTTGCCCAGCTGTGGGGAATGCTTGCCCCACAGGAGTGTAGTCCAGGTGAAAATGTTCCCATTTCTACCCTCACCGACTCAGGTAATTCTGGACGAAGCCGCTAAAGTTGCACTGTGTCTCAAACCGTCTCAGCGTTTGTCGTAGGCTGCGAGAGCAGCGCTGCGAGTCCGGGCGCCCGAGGTGAGTGGAGATGGGAGAACAACGGCCCCGTGGGGCAAGTGCGCTTCTTCATATGGGTATGGGTCAAAGTTAAACCACCAGGGAACCGCAGTTTTAGTCCATGTTTCCCTTTACCAGGGTTCCATTTTGAGCCCGTATTTTTGACCCCCAGCCATATACGGCCTTTCCAATTTCCTCAACAAAACGAATAGTACAAAGCCAGCTATAAACGTTAGACACATCTGATGTGCAAGCGTTGAGGCGACGGATGCTGTGGCAGTTGCCCGGGCCGTGTGCCTGGGCGCGTTGCCGGGCTCCCGGGGTTGCGGCGCGACGAGTTTGGAAGCGTTTTCAGTAGGTGGCAGTTCTGCTCGGCACACAATGAGCTTTGGGCTAGTGGCCTGTTGGCAAAGCGGCTTGCAATCTGAATGAAGGTGCCCTGCAGGTTGGAACGCAAACTCGCGCTGAGGCGGAATGTACAGCATGAGACTGGTCTTGTGGCCAGACCTGCAACTGCCAGATGACTCATAGATGACTTGCTAGACAGGTAGTCAGCCAGGCAACTAGTCAGCTTTTTGGTGTTGAGTCCCCGTGAGGCCACAGCAGCACCTTAGTGTTTGCACTGTGGAGCAGCAAGTGTTCACTTGAAGATGGGTCAGCACTGTCCAATGGCGACATACAGACCGACGTTGACTCAACATTGGAGCTTGGTTCCAGCCTTTTTTTGGCTCACGTGTTTATGCATTGCCCTTTGTGCGTTCGCTTGAATGTAGCAAAACCTGGATGTTTGCATGCAGGCCAGCTTTTGTTTCTTTGGATGGAGGCCCTATATAGATGTACCAGAACTTATTTTGCAACATGAACTCAACATGCAGGATGGCAAATTAAGTTATCAAGCACATGTTTAGTTTCTGGACAACTTCCTCAAAAGGGATGCTCACACCGAAGGCTACTTGCTCGGCAGCAAAACTATGAGTGGGTACATTGAATCATCACTCTGTTTACGAGGCCGGAAGCTGCCATTCTGGCTCTCCATCAACGAGGCGGGAGGTGTGATGACAAGCTTCTGGACTTTCCGCCCCAGCTGAGTCCTTGGAGGTCACACACACACACACCCACACGGCATCACAGCGGCTTGTGAGCCCATCTTGTGGCAGGCTGCACTCTCGAGGTGCTGATGCCGGAGTGCACGGCAGAAATGGCAGGAGGGGAGCAGTTTGCCTTTTTGGAAGCTGAGGCAAGCCGGCTGTTGCAATACTGGCAGCGGCAGGGAGGTTTGAGGAAGTGCCTTTCTGGCAAGCGGTCGTGACAAGAAATGCAAGTGGTGCCTCCAACCTCCGGAGGACTGCTGCCGCACCAGGCCATGACACTCGCGGAGGCTGGGAGCTCGTTCTGCTTCGAGCACTGCTGTTGACTCCTCGAAAGGCTTTCTTGGCGCTGGCGCAGTGGTCTGCACACTGGCAGGCTCGGGCTGGGTCTTTCCTTCGGCGCTTTGCCACGAGCTCGCCGTCCAAGTGCATCGTCAGGACGTGAGCCCTGGCCAGTGTCCAGGAGGCAGCACCATCACTGCGCAATGTGCCCGGAGCTCAATGGCCTCATGAGCCACAATCAGAACCCGGGTAAGTGCAGGTTCGCAAGGGACTGTCCCAACCATAAGATAGGTGCCGCCGCTTCTTGAAGATTTACATGGGTTTGGGTTCACCATCTTCAAACCAGGTTTTGAATATGACTCACATGGAGCTCTCCAACAGAAACGGAGGCTTCCCATTGATTTGCTCCCCTGATGCTTGGCGGTTTGGCCTGGGGTCGGTGGTCATTTGAGCGCTTGGGAATTGCTCTTTAGCCTGGGCTTTCTTTCCTTGTCAGTTTCTCACCCACCGGAAAGGCCGCATGGATTGCCCCGGCGTCAAATTTGTCCGGTTCAAATGTTGTAATGCCCGAGGCTCAGAGGGCCCAGCACTCCCGCAGGCAGCCCTGAAGTCTCTGGCGCTGCTCTACGGCGCGCCGAAACCGGCGACGGAGCGCCCACAGCCCACGGCCACCAACGGCCCAGTGGCCCCCTGGGCACGGTGGCCCGCGCAGCGCTCTGCGCTGCTGCAGTTGAGGGTGATTTATCAGGCAGGCGACAAGCCTTTTCCGGACATGGCCACTCTTAACAGTTTCGCGATTCAGATGTAGCCATTCACCAATTGGCAGGACTGGTAGTTGGGTGAGTTTCAGCCACCGTTCCGAGAAGTGCTGTCATGTCGAAGCCACACAATCGGCATGCAACATTTGCAGGCCGCTCGTTTTTCTTCGGACCTTTCAACAAACGTTTCCTGCAAGATTCTTGAACCGGCCGGGCCTGGACAGGGAGGATGGGAGGGCAATCGTTTGCAAGGGGTTCCAGAGGATGAAAAACGAAATGGTGACTGTGTTTGCTCATGCATTGGTCCCCAGATCATTCAGTACGCAGGTGAGCCTCCTCTACGAGCGTCTAGGTGAGGCAGAGCTGGCTGGTGCCTGTGCCGAGAGCGGCCTGCAGCGCCCTGTCTAATAGTGGGCATCTTTCCTTGGTTTGGTTTGGTTTGTTTGGTCTGATTGGTTGTGTGTCTGTCTGTCTATTATAGCTTGGTTTGTAGCAGTTGGCATTTTGTTGGCTTACAGACTTAGTGAGGCAGTCCATCAAAAAGTTAGTTAGTTACATAGTTCGTTAGTTAGTATGTCAGTCAGTCAGTTTGTTTGTTGCTTTGTTTGCTTGCTTGTTTGTTTGCTTGGATGCTTGCTTGCTTTCTCGTTTGCTGGTCTCATTGTTGTTGTGTTTGCTCGACATCTACATTTGCATGTCCCCGTTCTGAACGAGTCTGCATGCCCGATCTTCCCCAACATCCTCGTATTCGGATGCATTCGGGCTCTGTTTGATGGTCTCAACAAACGACGGGTTCCCTTTGACTTTCATTTTCGTTGAACACCGCGCCGCAGCCATAAACAAAGATACAACCATTTTTGGTGTTTGTATGGGTTCTTAAGGACACCCACTCTGTGCAGTGGTGATGGTGGCGGTGGTGCTGGTGGTGGTGGTGGTGGGGTTGTTGTTGGTGGTGGTGGTGGCGGTGGTGGCGGTTGTGGTGCTGCTGCTGCTGCTGCTGCTGGTGGTGGTGGTGGTGGTGGTGCCGTTGTTGTTGGTGTTGTTAGTGTTGTTGGTGGTGTTATTACTAGTGTTGGTGCTGTTGTTGGTGGTGTTGTTGGTTGTGTTGTTTCTGGTGTCTTGGTGTTGGTGGCATTGTTGGTGTTGAGCTGGTGCTGGTGCTGTGACACAATCCCAACCGCAATCTCCATCAGCAAAACAACAACAAGCCAGACAGCTGCTGCAGAGTTTTCATGCCAAGAATGGCAGACCTCGCAACCCATTTTCCTCAGTACTTCTCACGCCCGCCTTTCTCTTCAAGCCGCTTGGGCAGGCTCATGGAGCGCAAGCTCTGTGGCGCCCACGGGTGGAAACTACGCTTTCTTTGCCTCCGGGCCAGGCCGGGACCACACTTTGACCGTTGTTGGCTCCAGGGCGCTGTGATTTCTTCGTTTTTGGGTGCAGGACCGACCCTTCTAGTTCCGTATGTGGATGGCATGTTTGTGAGAATTAGTGTGAGTTTGCTTTCACTAGTGTCGTATCGTTCTCCAACTCCTCACCCGTGCCTCAGGTCAGCGATAACCCGCTCGGTGCATGCCCGCAATCCAGTGAAGGACTGATGATAGGGCGCAATATACGCGCGCGCGCGCGTGCGCCACACAAACACACAGACACGTGCGCGCACGCCTACACACACACACGAACGCCCACACACACACAGACGCACACACACACACAGACACGCAGCACACACTACACACCACAGCACGCAACACCCAACACCCAACACACACCACGCATCACGCATATCACACAACACCCGCAACTCACGCCATACACAACACAGCGCAATACACAACCCACGCACCACACAACACACAATAGACAACAGACACGAAACCACGCAACACACACACACATGCACAACACAACAAAACAAAGCATAACACACACACACACAAACACATCACACGACACAACCCCGCAACCCACAACGCACAACACAACACACACACACACACACAGCACACAATGCAGAACACGACGCGCAACAGGCAACACACACACACAACACGCAGCACGAACTCACTTACGCGTGCAAGCACGCACGCACTCGCGCATGCACGGGCGCCTTTGCACATGCACACACACACACACGTCCATATGTACATACATACATACATACATGCGTCCATCCATCCATCCATCCATCCATCCACCCATCCATCCATCCATCCATTCATGCATCCATGCATCCATCCATCCATCCATCCATGCATCCATCCATCCATCCATCCATCCATCCATCCATCCATCCATCCATCCATCCTTACATACATACATGCATGCATACATACATACATACATACATACATACACACATACACACACACACATGCAGACACACACACACACACACCACACACACAAACACAAACACAAACACAAACACAAACACAAACACAAACACACACACACACACACACACACAAGCACAAACACACACACACACACACACACACACACACACACACACACACACACACACACACACACACACACACACACACACACACACACACACACACACACACACACACACACACACACACACACACACACACACACACACACACACACA